TGACAAAGTTTTTGCAGAATGGAGAGAACACAGCCCTGTGCAAAGCTGCTGCCTGCTCTGGCATTCTGTTTTCCAGCACAGCTGGTGGTGGGGGTTGTTCTGGGTTCTTCCTCCTGGGTTCTTGTTCTGTCCTGGAAAGGACAATTTGCTGTGTCCTACCCATGCCTTGGGGTGAGCAGGACAGGGAGCAGCTCTGCCCAGCTGAGCAGGATGCTCTGTGCTTTCAGCAGGGACATTCCAGCTCTGCAGGGCAGGAGGAAACAGCTCCTGAAGTTCATCACCAGCAAACTCTGCATTTATCCAGAGCTATGCACTGACATGGTTTCAGCAGGCCCTTCCCAAGTTCCTCTTTGGATTATCAGAGTATTTATTACTACCTAAATCAGTCAAGTTTGCAAAGTTGGGAAGAACAACAAACACACACAAACACAAAAACACTTGTTTGTGTGGTTATTTAACCCCCAAACACTGAAATGCAGCCTGTGCAATAAACTGGAAGACACACATCTGCCAAAATGCCACTCCAAAATGTCTCTCCAAAGCCCAGACACAAAATAATTGGCCAAAAGTGGTGCAGAAACATACAGAGGGTGCAGGTGTGAATGCTTTGGGGCAGAATAGCCATCCCCATCCCTTTTACCTGGGCATAGCAGAGTCATTTATGGTATTTCCCGTATCATAATGGGAAATAGCATACACTCTGCTATGGCATGGGAAATGCCAAGTTATGGTATTAACTTGGTATTAACTTGTATTTCCCATGCCATGACTTGTATTTCCCATGCCATAACTTGCCATGCCATCCTTTGTACCTGATTTAAAGCAATCAGATGTATCAGCATTATCATTAAAAATAATCTGATTCAAGAGAGATCATTCTTCAGCTCTCTCAGTGCTTTTAACAGCACAGTGCTTTTCTCTTCAAAGAAGAAAATTTTCTTTCAAAGAGAACAATAATGAAGCAACACAGTCCCACCAGCACAGGCTCCTCGGCAAGCACAACACCCACTCATCCCAGTCCCAATCCCTCCCTTTGGTTTGTGAACAGATGCCAACCCCTGGCACATTCAGGCCCTGGTATGTCTTTTCCAAACAAGATTTCCTTTGATTTCCAGATGACAAACTTTGTGTTTGCACTTATGTTTTTAATATTGTATTAATTACCATGGGTATAATTTATAAGATTGTATCGAGATATCAAGAGCTAATACAGTTGCACTTAAATTTGTCAGCTGTGCAATAGCTTGCCCTAATTTTAGATTATCAGCTCTGGAGACCTGCTCAAAGAGTAAGACTGACAGACTTTTTAATGGAGAAAATCGGAGCTCCCCTGGGATCCAGACTTTTTTCTGATTCAGGAAGAAATCCCAGTGGCATTTGCTGAAAGGATCCCAGGATGGAAAGTGACATCTCTCTAAGAATTAGTGCTTCTCACTCTGATGCAAGTCTTCCAAATATACTTTCCCTCCACAGACATGCCTGCTACCTCTTCAGACTTTTCAGCAACACGAGGGTGAAATGTCTACTTTGAGTGCTCCAGTCCAGTCCTGTGTGTCAAACTGAAGTGAAGGAGCATGAATCTATATAAATAGACAAATTATCCACCCAAAATATGTCATTTGAAATTGAGATGCTGACACAACCTTAGCTACAGCACTGCTAAGCAGGGGCTGCAGCATTGTTTCAATTAAATATCCTTGTTTCTTCTTCAGGAGAAAGCTCTGCAGAAATGTCTCCTTTGAGGGCAGACACAGACAGAAAGTGGCTCCCAATTAAAGGCTGGATGGGAGGCACAGCCATCACCCAGCAGAGATCAGATATCAGCTGTGATATCAGCCAGACAGGCATGGATCCAGGTGAGGGAGAAGGACCAGGCTGAGGCAGTGCCTTTGCCACGGCCACCCCTCTCCATCCAGCTGCTCCTCAGGCTCCCAGCTCCTGCTGCTGCTGCTCTCAGTGCCCCATCCTTCAGCCAGCCCATCCTTCAGCCCCTCCATCTGTCACACACCTTTCCTGACACTCATCTGCCATGTTTCATTCAAAGGCTCTGGATTCTTCCTGGATTCCAGGTTTGATTTATTCTAGCAGAAATGTGTACCTGTGTGCATTATTTCTACCCCTCGTGGATTTCCCATGGAGGATCAGTGGGTGTTTGCCCTCAAAAATCCCAAATGAAGCAGAAGAGCTTCCTTTGCATTGTCTGAAGGGTGAGTGGAGAATTGCTGTGCAGCAATTAACCCTGCATTCTGTACACAACAGGCTATCGAAATCTGCAAGAGACAGTCCTAAAGGAAAGCAGATCTCCTCTTCCCACAAACATTCTGTGTCTGCTGGGAGGGGCACAACTCCACAGCCCTCAGAACACACCTAGTGAGGTCCCACCAAGAGCAATTTGTCAATTCACTGCCAGAACAGCTCCACAGCTGGGGGCCAATATCACCATGATATAAGGCTTTGGGTAAAGGATCTTCAAACCTCCAACCCTGCTGAGCACCCCAGCTCTCCTGGCTGCTAATGAACACTGAGGATGTTGGGCACCACTGATGAAATGCTCCCTTGGCCAGGACCCACCACCCTCCCTTCTCCCACTGCAGTGTGCTCACAGGAACTTTTTGTCCTAAAAATGCTATTTTATTTAAAGCAGGAATTCAAAAACTCTTCTGAAAGAGATCTAAAAGATCCTGCCTGTCTGAAGAAAAGAAGTTTCTACTTGTCAGTTAAATAAAGGAATAACGCACAGCCTCCTTTCTAGTGTGTACTTTACCTGTCATCCAGCAGCCCATTATCACGTCACGGCAGAGTGCACTTTCCTGCAGGTCACTTTGTTTAAAATGACATGGATAATGCACATGTCAGCGAGCTGACAGTCCCCACCGTCCTTCAGAGATAAAACCCAGCCACCAGTGCCTGTTCTTATCTGGGGTACATGCCTTGCTCTATCATCTAAGTCAGGCAGAACATGATTTCTCCAGAGAGCACTTTTTTCATTTCCTGATTTTAAGAAAATCAAATAAGCACCATTTGTCTTCATCTGAATATGCTTGACCTGCTCAAATGATGATGTCTCGCATTTTATAACAGGCTACATATGCTGAATTCAAATTAACAGCAGAACAAGGCCTTCAGATCTTTGCCTGGGCTGCCAGCACAGCCTGAATAAATAAGCCAGGGTGAGCAGTCATCCCTCAGAACTGGGCCTGAGCTGGGGAGCTCAAAGATGGCTCTGGTTCTGACACATGTGAAAAGCACTACATTTTTAGGGATATTTGGGCCTGCACTCAATCCCATTTCATTACAGAAAATATGGATCACAGAGATGGAATACACATCTGGATTTTAAATCCTGCCCACACAAGTACTGGGGTGTTCTATGTGAGGTACAGTCTTGAGTCTCTTCCTTGTTCATCCTGAACCAGCATCTCCCCTCCATCCCCAAAAGCTGCCTCTGCCTTTTTATACAGGAGGGCTGCAAGAGAAAAAAATGAGTGAAACAGGCAGAGGTTCAGCTCCATAAATGCTGCAGTGACAGGAAATTACACTTTTAGTTCTGGGTGCCATAAACATAGAAGCTGAAATTCAGTTTATCATCTTCCTCTGCATAAGGAACATCCTGAAAATGAATAATCACTTCACAGGATGGAATGTATTGGTAATGCATTAAAAATTCATATTGAAAAGTGCAGGTTAATATTCTGTGCAAAAACCCAACAAAACCTCCCCTTTCTGTTGTCACACTGATTAACTCCAGTGATTAGTTCCCTTATGCAAGGAAAATCATTGCATTTCAAAGTAAACAGCAGTTCTTTAACAGAGTTAGCAAATTATTAAGAAACATGAGGAAAAAATCCTCTACTTGGAAAAGAGCTGAAGGGCAAAGCTTTGCAAGTTATATACAGAATGGTTTGAAAATTTCCTTCCTGTTACACAAACCCTGTAGAAAACTGGTTAAATTCATGGAAGGTGATTTTTGTACTCATTGTTTCCCTCTGAATTTTACAGCATATTTGCACTTGGCTGTTTTGGGTGAGCTGCACACCAGCCTGGTCATCTCTCCTCTTCTTGGCCTGCCTTGGAGCTGCTTAACAGAACCACTCATGAAACTCCAACCAGCTCAACATTATTATAGGAACAATATTTTCTGACATTATTTTACCCTCCCCTGACTTCCATTCCCCAATTTGTCCAAGGAAAGAGGAGGCAAAAGTAATTACATTATCAAAACATCCCTTAAGGCTCAACATACAAATAAAAATCACAAAATCCAACCTGGAAATAAAGAAATTAGACCAGTTTTTCTGTGATAATTATTTCAGTTTTTTCCAAATAAAGAAGGTTAGTCTGTTCACAACATAAAATAATGCCTAAAAATATTGATCATTATGGATACCAGTTCTTAATTGCTATTAGTCTTCTAAACAATAGGCAGCATCAGAGACCATTGCTTGACTCTTACAGCATTAATTTTTTCCCTTTTCCCACTTAGAAACCCAAAATCATGGAGACAGTGCTCAGCAAGTTCTGTTACTTGACTTAATGTACAGTTTCCAAATGTTATTTCTAAAAAACAGATATATCAACCATAACACTTCAGTTGGAGTTTGCAGGCCCTTGCCTGCAGAGAAGCACAACAGGCACTAACAGTGATTAAATAACTGTTAAGAAGTGCAAATGTGAGGGTTACCAACAGACTCAGTTGCTGCTACAACTTCCAAGGGGAAGTGTAGCCATGGAAAGGGTTGGTGGTGAGACTGGTGTTCATAAACAACCCACACAGACCATGGCATCAATATGCTTCAGGATGAACTATGTGGCCTCCAAAATATTCATTAGAATTCTCTTTCCTTGGAAGTCTATTCCAAAATTAAATTAGAGACAGAAATTTTCTTGGTATAGAGATGCTTTAGATTAGTCCAAGAAGAAACTTTGAATAAGTAATAGATGAAGAGGAATAAGGGAATCCAATAAATTAGTTTTGTTCTCATACTGATTTTCTTTCTTACCTTTTCTTCTTGATCACTGTCGCTGTCACACTGAAACACAAAAAGAGAAAAAGCACAGGTAAGAGAAGCTTGCTACAACAAAAAGAAGATAAATGTTTCTGTGAACAAGATGGGTGATACATTCACAAATGTTGGGCATCACACCTGGCACCTTTAGGAACAAGGTCAGTTACTGTATGGGAGGAAATTCCCCCCAGTGCTGTTGCAGAGGACGCATTTCTGTGTTTGGATGATGGAAATGCTGCCCTGCACACACCAAAGCCATTTGCAAACCCTCTGCCAGTCCTGCTCAGGGGCACAGGAGCTGCTGGTGCAGGGGCACAGTCAGACCCCAAAACTGGATCAGGGAAGAAGAAAATCAGTCTCAGAGGGCTGGTTTTCTTTGTTTTCCTTGGATGAGCAGTGCTCCTCATGCTGCTGCAGTCCAGCAGCTGCGGGGGCTCCTTGGGGATGCTCAGGTGCGCCCAGCACTCAGAGGAGACCTTGCAAGGCTCCAGGAACACAAGCAAAGGTCACCCTGTCCTTTGCTTTTGGCTGCTGAAGTGAAGATTGCAGAGATCACAGGGAAGCAGGAATGTGCCACAGCCACTGATCCCCCCAGGCTCTCTGGGAGCAGCCCAGGCATCACAGTTCTACAAAATGCTGAGTCTTGATATTTATCCAGTGCCATTACTCAATTCTTAAATAAGTTTTACTATTGTAGGAATAGAGCAAGACTAGATCACTCAATATTTCTGAAAGACAAGCATCAGAACCCAAACCACATTTGCATTTGCTGGAAGTACAAAAGCTGTGTACTTTTCCCAGGACTCTGAGAACCCAGGAAATCACAGGTTTGAATTTTGGGTACCTGCACCTCATTCTGTGGGTTTGTTTTGTTTCTATTTTGTTTCTATCTACAGCTGGAGGTTCTGTATCACTCAAGACTGAGCCATGCAGATCTCATGGCAAACATTTCCAAGGAAAACATCACCAAACAGGGCACCCAGGCTTTCCTACCCAAGGAGCACCTGACTGTCAGGCTCTTACAGCACTCAGTTAAGTACTTTGTGTACTTATATCTTTATGTACTTATATCTTTATGTATTTTTAGCTTTATGTACTTATATCCTTATGTATTTATATCTTTATGTGTTTATATCATCTTTGAATATTTTTGTAAGACAACCAAATTGCTTTGAAATTAGTTATATTTTGTGAATTCCAAAGGTTAACTATACAGTGGGATGGGAACAGACAGAGCCAAATACTCCCACAAATACACATATTTGATTTGCACAAATCAACTCATGTTCTGTCCGTTGTTTAATTATAACTTTTCTGTTTCACTGGCTTTTCCCTTGTCTTCACCAGTACAGGGGGTGAAAAGGTGCCTTCCCTACACCACTGAGCTATGTACTAACAAATTAGAGCTAAGAACTATTTCTAGGTATTTTTAAACTAATTTTAAATGAAGGAAAGATGAGATAAAATTACAATCTTCTTGCAGCTGATTTCAAATAGAAAAGGAAGTGAAATTTATTTAATAACTGAAGTGATTTATATAGCACTAGTTGCACCTATTTAATGCCAGAGTATTTACTCTGGCAACAAACAAATGAGAAGAATCATGAAGACAGGGGGCAATTTTAGGTTTAATTTTGAAAACCTCACACAGTGTCTGAATTAATGAAGAGTCCACTTAAGTGACAAAAGGAAAGCATTTCTAGAACAGCATGGCACTGATATAAAGTACTCCTACCTTACCCCATAAATACAATGCATTTTGTCTTCATCAGGACTGCCTGTAGGAGATTTTGGTATGAAGCTGAGCAAGACCCTGCATTTACAATAAAAGCAAACTTGCCCATGGATTTTAATGCATGAAAATCAGGGCACAGAATCAGAGAACACCTGAACTGGAAGGGACCCATGAGGATCATCCAGTCCAGCTCCTGGCCCTGCACAGGACATCCCCAAGAGTCACAGAGCATTTCACAAGCATGAATGTCACAGAGATTTCCTTTTACTATTTCTGCTACACAGCTATTGGAAAAATTCAGCTTTTGGGCTCTGTCACCTTCTCCCCCTGGATGGTCAGAGCCAGGAGCTCCCTAGGATCCATTATCACACCTCTTATGTGTTTCAAACCAAGGAGCAAAGAGGAATTTCTCCTTTGTTTGTGTCTCTGCCCACCCTCCAGGCAATCCCCAAGTCTTGATCAAACTGTAAAAGTGAAAATAAAGGGGGCAAAGGGCTGTCTAAGCAGGCAGGGGCAATTCCCTTGGAGCAGCAGGGTTCAGAGGGTTTGGAGGTGCCACCACTCCGGGTGCCAGGCACAGGAGCAGTGTCCTGTGACCCAGCTGTGCTCAGAGCACTCGGCAGCCTCTCCCTCAGCCCAGTTTTGGTCTGATTTAAAGAATCTCTCTGTAGTTTTACTGACTCATAAGCTTGGAAAAGCTCAGGGTTTTTGTGTTCCCTTCAGCGTGGAGGTGCCTGGGGAGAAGAGAACTTGCCAGCCCTGACATCTGAATTTGCCAAGAGAGCAGGTCCCCACAGCCCAGTGAATGTGCACAGCACTGTCTGTGGGAGGCCATTTCCAGCAAAGTGTTAAACTCCACACCTCCTGCTCTCCCACAGTCCAGTTCTAATTTCAAGGTCTGCTTAATTCCACATCAAATAATTACTGCAGTACCCAGCAGCACCTTGTCTCCAGAGCTCAGCATATGGCGAAGGACCGAGGCCTACTGGTGCCCGCGATGGAGGAGAGCTGTGCCAAGCCCATTAAAGCTGCTCCTGCTCCCTCCCAGCGTGCCCAGGAGTGACAGCTCTGTGCCTGGGCCAGCTGGGGTGCCTGCCAACCCTGCCTGTGCTGCACATGGCACTGGGAGCTAACGCTGCCATCCCTGCCACTGAATTCCCTCACTGACCCCAGGACTTTGCTGCAGTGCACCATCCAATTTACAGCTCCGGCCTCCAGAGCCCTCCGTGCCAGCCTCTGGCTGAGAGGGATGATGGTCAGAGCCCTCCAGCTCATAAATTATGCAAAGGCAATAAAAGCACTCAGCAAACAGCTCCCTGCCTGTGGCCAGCCTGGCTCTGGGCAGCTCTGCCCTCTCACACAGGGTTGGGCACCAGGGCAGAGCCCAGTGCCCAGCACTGCTGTCCTGGGCCAATGCAGCGTGCTGGGGAGCAGCTGGGTGGGAGGAAAAAGGGAGGGAGAGGATGGGAAGGCTCTGAGCACTGCTCTGAGATGTATATCTGTGTAACACCTCTGTCTGTGTGTGTGTGTGTGTGTGTGTGTGTGTGTGTGTGTGTGTGTGTGTGCAGGGCACACTCTGCACTGGCACATTCTGCACATTCTGCACTCCCACCCATCACACAGTTTGTGTGCAGGGGTAATGCCAAAAAGGGAGAGGAAGGATGTTTAAGATGTTTGATGCTCAAGCTGGAAACAGAGCTGGAGCAGTGCACACTGTCCCCATGGCTGAGGGTCAGCCCAGGCTCACACACAGCCACCCCTGCTCTGATGGGCTCATTTACATCTCTGGATGCACGTTCTGCCCAGAGCTGCTGAAGCACGAGGTGCTTCCATCTCCTGCAGCCTCACTGCTCCCCATGGCTGGAGAGGGAATTTTGGGAACCAAAGCTGACAGCCGTGAAGTTGATTATTCAGAATTACTGGTCAATTTGAAGGCTGGAGCCTGCACTGCTCACTCAATTCCTCAATTCCTCCAGCATTTCCCTACCTCCCAGGGCCACAGGAAGGAGTGAAATGATTTAAGTGCTTTGTGGTTCTCAGAGCACCAGACTGTTCTGGAATTGCAGCAATGGAAATACTTTGTACTGGCCCCTGCTTTGGGCAGTGTTTCAGTATTCCATGGCTGTTACACAAAGCTCATTTTTCGGTGCTCTCCCATGCCTTTTTCAGGAAACCATGGCTCTGTGCACAGGCCGCCTTGGAATATTCTGCAAATAAGTGGGAATCCAAAATATAATTCAGAGATAGCATGACCTGATTTTTGGATCACTGCCATCAGCTTCACTGGAAGCTGAGGGTGATAATGTGGCAAATCAGGACAAGGAGGCTGCAGACACATTTTACACCTGAACAAACAGAGGCTTCTTGCTCTGATTCACAGGCTCAAGGCACTTACTGTCTCCACTCTGAGCACAAGTTGTGACTGATTACAGCATCCCCAGGCCAGGCTTGAGATGAGCCCAGAGCCAAATTGCCTGATTTGCCCTGCACCACCCCTGGCCAGCCCTCAGCTCAGTCCGTGAAGCCCAGATGGGCACAGCTGAGCACCCTGAGCCCCCTGCATGGCCAAATTTTCACATGCACACAGTCCCAAGTGCTGTGAGAGCTTCTCAGAGCACAGCCTGACAGGCTCCTCAGAGGGAGGAGTCTGAAAATTGGTTATTTTGTGCTTCCCAAAGTCTTCTACTGGCCAGAAGGGACTCCGTGGTTTTCTCAAAGGATCTATGGGTCTACCAGCAAAATTCAAAATTATCTTCATTGATAAAAATCTTGCAGGACTTATGGAAATGCGAAGGGTGCTCCTAACTTCTATATAATTGGGGTAATAATGAGAGCAGACTGGCTGTGATTTGCACAAAGTGGCCAGAGTTATCACTGAAACTGTTCCAATCCCTTAAATAACCAAAGCCCCCAGCCATCACATCACCTGACACACACACACATGTGCCAAGTGTTCAAGCTTCCTTTTGCAGTATTTCTGCAACTCCTTGCTCCAGAAATGCTAATCACAGTCAGTGACCCAAAAACTTGCATGTTCATATGTGTAATGCAGTCAAAATTCAAATAATTACCCCTAAAATCAAATCCAGATGAGGAAGAAGACATACAAAGGTAAAAGATCTCTGTACCAACAAACCAGAAATCTCTTTTTTTCTGCCCCAGCCTGAAGCCCTGCAGTCAGCTTGGGCTGCAGCAGATGCATTCCCTGCAATGTGGGGTCTGCACACACAGACCTGCAGTGGGAAGTGGGAAAAGAACTTTCCAATTCCCAGCTGAGGCATAATTGCTG